GCTCCGTACGGAGCCCCAGAGCTCCGCGAGAGAAACCCAGGGGCTCCGCGAGCTATTCGATTACTTTTCAAAATACTGACCAATTTTGTAACTGTTCAAAGAAGCAATAACAGCTTGATGACATTATTTAAGGCTGATTTAAAGAATACTATTTTAAAATAACATAAAATATATATGTGATAAACTGCCAACTATAAATAAATTGGAGTCGTATTTTTGCGATCTTGGGATTTGTCAAACTTGATTTGTTCTTTCGCACTTGAAATTATTTTTAAGCAAGATATCGCCGATTAAAAATCACAATGTATGGGCAAAATACGAACAATCGAAATTTATTTTATTGCATTCGGCTCCGTCGGTAGTTTCAGAATGAAAAAAGGTACATCGCGGATCGCGCGCACAATTGATTACTGCGGCTCCGTCGGTAGTTTCAAAATGGGAAAAAAAGGTACATCGCGCGCATAATTGACTGTGTTTACTACGATGAAAACCTAACATAACACCAAATTTTGTGATTTACAATCTCTATTAAAGCGTTTTCAATCTGAAGAGAGTCTGCTGAAACCAAACGTGTGATCTTCCATTTTAAGATTCAGTTTTAATATTTTAGAATGCCGTTTTTCAATCAAGAAATTTGAGTTGCGGATTTACCTCTTTATTAATTATTATTTTTAGCATTTTGTCGCCGATGACTATAATGTGGTAACATGTTTTTCACAATGAACTCATAATTCCCCACGAGTACAAAAAAGCAATTAACGTCGTCATTGTGTAACAATAAATGTATATGCCGAGGGAAATTTTTGATTTAGGGAGAATACACACCGGCGTAAAGATGCTTAAAGGTTCAAAAACAGGCCATGCTGACGAAAAAAATCGGCGATTGTAACAAAATGAAATCGCACACGTTATTAGCGGCTTTTTAGGTCTTTCAAAAATGTCAAAAGGGAAAAGATTTGCCCCCTAATTTATAAATATGTTTGTCGAGTGTCAAATTTACAGCTTTAGTATATATAATTTGTGTTTGAAATTTAGATTTATTTATGACTTGTGTTAACCCTATATTAAAAAAGGTTCAGCATTTAAAATGAGTAAAGTACTTTTAACTTGCTCAGGAATATTAATCTGAAAGTAACAATTTTAACATTTATTTTGGGGCTCCGTAAATAATATTCAACCTTTCAAGGGCTCCGCAACACCAAAAGTTTGAGAACCCCTGGTCTAAATTAAACTTCACTGTGTTTAAAATAGTATCATTTTCAGCGATCTTCTCGACAAGTTTATCAGAAGAACAGGAACTTCACTTTGGATAGGACTCGACGACCTTGGGAAACAAGACAACTGGAAATGGTCTGACGGAGTTTCATCAACTTCCTCTAATGCACCATGGAATGAAGGAGAACCAAATCGCCAAGATGAACGATGTGCTTGCATGTACAAGCCTCTCCAATATAAGGTGATTGATACCTTTTGTTCCAGAAATAGATTCTACCTTTGTGAAGAGTAATTACTTCTTTCTTTCAAAGAATTGCAACAATAATCAGAAAACTTGTTCAAGCCCTCAATATCCATACGGGCCTAATTCTTTTTTAATTTCTTTTAAATGCATGTTCCAGAATTTAACCTGTTTTTTCCTAGTTTTAAGCATTAGTTATTCTTGTTCCAAATACTCTCGTTTGAACAGTCAAACATTTAAATACGGTTAAATAGATGAATTGTCTACATTTGAAAACCTGATCATTTTAACTTAGAATATAGATTACAAAGGTGGGCAAACTACCGCCCACCAAAGTGTTTCATCCGACCCACTCATGTCTTCTGAAATTACGACTATAGTTTTTATTAAATGAACTGTAATCTATTCATAGTTTTTGGTCTTTTTTCATTTTGAGTCTTGAGTCTCTGCCCAATTAACCAAGTCTATTATATGTAACTGGCCCACTCAGAAAAGTAATTGTCCACCCACATAGAAGGTAAACCATCTTTGTCCGTAAACACAAATATTAAATAATAGCCATATTACTTTATTCTAGCAACAACGAAACAAAGAATTATATATATTCTTTATTATTTAAGATATTTATATTTATCAGTAATGTTGAGCAGAAAGTAATACACGTGGAACACTTATACCAAGACAATGATAATCTCGTAAGGGTAATTTCGACTTACAAAGCCAGAAAGATTGGGCAACAGAACTGAATTTGATAATAAAAAATTTTCTTGAGCTTTTGGAGTGTCACTCGTATAGCATTCTAGCATTTCTAAAATTCGCGCATCATCATTGCATAATTATATAATTAACTTCAAGCAGTTACATGTTTGGTTGTTTAAATAAATCTTTGTAATCTAATAACTAGTCGGAGCAAATATGTATAATTGATTGACGAATTGTTAGTGTTGAGGTTACCTGAAAATCGCGTATATCTTGCACAGTAATCCTATGAGCATTCTCACCTGAATGTAGACGTTTTTGCTTATTATTCTCATACCACGACCGCCGAGGGTGGAATAAGGGAAATGTGGTAATGAGGTTGATTTGAAGTTGCGATATAATTATTCTAGTATTTTTAGAAGTGGAAGCAGGCAATAAAATCAAAATTGCCAATATCCAGTAATTCAAATAATTATTTAAAATTCATTGAGTTTCTTCGCGCTTTTGTATTGGTTCATATCTTTAAACATTTCATTCATGTTGTTGGTTACATATTTCTACCAGGTCTATTGTGACATGAGAACAGACAGATTGTTGAATTTTGGTTGCAATTTTATGAAGAGTCCGATCGACGGAGCTAGTGCGCATCGGATTAATTGTTCGAATTGCGAGACTAATATATATATAATAAAATAAACTCCGTTCGAGACTTATTATTATTATTAGAGACGTATAATCAAAATATGGAGTTTCAATAACGAAGTTTAATTATGATAAACCTATCTTTGGAACCTGTGAATGGTATACAATTTTCAATATTATTATACTCAATACACATATCTCAAAGCGGCGAATGTCCGTCATCTTTTTAACAAACCTAAGTTAACAATCTAGAGCAGGGGTGTGCAACCTTTATTACAGAAGGGCCAAATACAACTAACTGGATGAAGCCGCGGGCCGCACCTAGATACTCTACCTACAAAAATTCCAACTTACGAAAATTATTCTCGTCAAAATATTGATAGAAAATAGGAAACTCAAAAAATGCGTGTAGTGATATCTGTAAATTCTAGGTTAATTTAATACAGGGATGTCCAATTTAATATTCAAATATCGTGACCTTCGAATATCGTTTTTCGTGTTAAAAGAAAAACCGAATATGGCGTACATATCCTAGCGCCGCCGTCCACGCTTTAATTTAAAACCTTTAACAATTATTTCATTTTTTATCGTCATCGAAGCCAGCCGTGTGTGGTGCGGCAATAACTTTTCTGTCCTCCTATTGCGCCGCGGGTACGTCCAATGTGTTGCTAGCGGAATCCAGTGAATAGACGTATATTACGTTCTTTCTCAGCTATCAACTTTTGCCACCTTCCCCGACCGCCGTCCTCCCACTGTCCGCGGTCTTCGTATGGCCTATCATATAGCCGGCCAACGCCAAAGGTAAACAAACTTACCGTCCGTAGATTTTAGTCGTTATATCTGTGTTCCTTCTTCTTTCCATGTGTACCATTTCTATTTATTATGTAGTAATCCAATGCTAACATGTATTTAACCGAGTTTTGTTGGGACTTAGAACGGATTAGGTTATTTACAGGTAAAATGCTACCCTACTTACGTAATTTTCTGCCTACGAAGGGGCTTCCCAAACGAATTAATTTGGTAGGTAGAGTAGTTACTGTAGTTGCAAGCACAAAATTTTTTTTTTTTTTTGGTATTGATCTTACGGCATTTTAGTGGGTTTTGCAGAAATGTTGAGTTTTACGCAGAAATCAAAAACTGCTATTCATATTAAAACGAATTCTGTGGCAAAAACGCTTTTATATTATTGTGTATTTTGCAACAGGATTTTTCTAGCTAGTTTTGCTAATATGATTCAGGTACTGGTATAGGCTTTGCCACGCAAAGAGATTGGAATTGCTCTCACGTACCAGAAAAACCAAACTAAAAACTCGCTTCGCGGGCACACAATTTAAAATTGGCACTTCTACACGGTCCGCACAATTTTTCTTTGGGGGCCGCAGTTTGCGCAAACCTGATCTAGAGTATAGATTCTATACATTCAATCAAACGTACGACGATGGTAATAATGGAAAGAATTCAGATATCATTGTGCTAAAACAAATGGTCCACCACAGGTTAGTTGATTGTATTGGGTGGTGAACCTGTGTAAAGTATCGAGAATATTTTGTACTATTGTAAAAGCTTCAAGATATTCATTCTTTGACAAACAATTCCACATTACTGTACCCTATGGTTCAGTGATAATATGAATAAAATGAAATATTGAATTATAAAGTGGAACTGGGGGTTAGAGGTCGATATGTTACATGGATGATAATCATAAAACGTACTGTAGGACACCAGAATCTCATGTGGTTACAATAAAAGGTGACGTCGGTGTTGAAAGAGTGCGTCGTAGTAATCTTTGTGTCTCATGGTGTTAATTTATTTGATGAAATGTAGCGGCGACCTTATTTCTTTGGGTCCTATTTTGTTCCCTGTGTGGATGAGCCTCGGTTCATTAAATGTTTAGTACAAGAGTCAACGCGAAATATCACTTATCTTACTTAGTTCGGATCCAAGCTTAAAATTAAAAAAGAAGGTATTTTTTTCGACACCAATAATGGTCCCTGCTTCTGGCCGCGACTTTGGAAACATGATGAACATAGAAAAAAATGCCAAAATGATTCATCCAGCCAATTGATCAATCGAATTAAATTTTGGGAAAGAAATTTACCATTCGACCTATCAATCTCGGAGAATAATATTGAGTTATCTATTTTGTTTAACTCCAAAAATACTCAAAGCACACTAAGTTTCAGTTTTAAATATTGACAAAACCTTGTAATGAATCCATTTATTGCCATTAATTGGAAAATTCTCTTATTTCAAAAAACGCACGGCGCTCCCGAAGTATGTGCACCAAGATGGCACAAAACCTGAACCCTAACCTGGTACACATACTATGTTCAGGTTGTGCGCCATCTTAGTGCACATACTTCTGGAGCTCCAAACGCACTACTTAAACTCAACAATTAAAATCAATTTATTATGATCGATACTCAGAATACATGATTTTATATTGAAAAGGTTGTTGATAATAATCAAGTTTACAATGAATATATAGTTCAAAAAAAAGTTGAAAGCAAAATTTTGTGAATAAAAATTCAATTTGCCCAATTATCGAATAGTCGTAGTCGTAGCTATATTTTAGCAAAGTGACCATAAATATTGTTTCTTGTTTTTGTGATATTATTTCCATTAATTAAAAGTAAGAAAAAGGGAATTTTTTCAATTACTTCTCACAAAGGTAGAATTGTTTGTAATTACAACCCAAATCTGCTATCTGATATTCCCAATAATCGTGCATACAAGCACATCTTTCAGTTGGATTATTTGGTTCGGTACTGCCCCATGGTGTATTAGAAGTAGTTGATAAAACCCCGTCCGACCATTTCCAGTTATCTTGTTCCTCAATATCGTCAAGTCCTATCCAAATCGGAGTTCCTGTTCTTCTGATGAACTTGTCGAGAAGATCGCTGAAAATAATAATATTTTGTCTTCAATTTGAACCAACAATGTCATATATTTAAAAAAATACAAATTAGATTTCGAACACTCACATAAAAATTTGAGGTATTCAATCGTTAATTTGACTTAAGGGAAATTTAAAATCAAATATAGTGTATTTAACAGTTTTTGTTGTAAAAAATCGCTTTTGCGCAACTTTTAGATTAATCGATTTGAAATTTTTATCACTTTAAGTTGGAGGCAGTATCACTTTAAGTTGGAGGCAGTATAGAACTACATAACTTTCAAACCCCTTACGAGGAAAACATACCAGCTTTCCCACGGAATATATGCGATCGTCAAAGTGTTTTCGCTGTTTAAAAAATTGTAATCATTGTAATACACAATTACCTGCGAATAGTTGGGTTGCGAATACCCTTTGCTGCTAATCGGCCACCCATGAGTTCGCAGTTTTTTCTGGCTGTTTGATAGTCCGACGATACATTGGCCAATTTGTACCAATATGGGTAACTGTGAACACGATACCAACCATCCGCTAGCAGTTCTAATTCTCGAGCTGAAAATAAAATAAGAACAAATATAAAACTATTTAAAAAAAACTTTATGATTACTTAAAAGAGGAATTCATCTAAATAGCCAAAGCTTTATTTCGAAGTTTAGATCCATAGAGATAACCGCAAATCCTCATTTTTTTTCATATGCAACACTTTAGACACAATCAATTAACGTAAGGTTTTTGAATGTAAATGAATAAGAACAAATATAAAACTATTTAAAAAAAACTTTATGATTACTTAAAAGAGGAATTCATCTAAATAGCCAAAGCTTTATTTCGAAGTTTAGATCCATAGAGATAACCGCAAATCCTCATTTTTTTTCATATGCAACACTTTAGACACAATCAATTGACGTAAGGTTTTTGAATGTAACAAAGTATAATAAGGGTATGAGTTTGAGATAGTAACCTTTTTCGAGGATTTGAACTTTGTGTGCCAACTCATCATATCGTGAGCAATTACATGGTGTTCCACTTTCTCCTTTAGCTCCCTGACGCCCCGTGGCACCATTTTGTCCTGGTGATCCGATATCACCTTTTGCACCTTCAGGGCCTTTCTTGCCTGGTCGACATGTTGTTTGACATTGAGAATCGTTTGGAACTAAAAACGCTAAATATTTTAATTTGGAAAAAAGCTTAAAAATGCATATGTCGATGAAATTATTATGCTGAATTTTTTTTATAATTTTTTTTATGTCTTTTTAATGTCACGTTAATTAAAAGATTTGGAGAATGAAATAAAAAAGATGACCAAACAACTCGATTTATTGTACTTATGAGATTCTTATGCCGATTATGTCACGAAAAGGCGAATGAATTAAATTCCCATTCTATGCTTTTGCACAGCAGATTATTAAATATTTTGAATCCAAACGTAAGAAAGTTTTAGCGCCTATTTTGGAAAACACTTTCAAAATTTTCATCAGAAAGTTTAAATGATAAATTATAGGAAATTTTATATGTGGCCAATGATAAGAAAAACACCCACTCTCTACTGCAAGTCATACAAGTAATTATTTAAGAAAAAAAGTTTCACCGTCTGTTGCTTCTTCTCGAGCTTTTTTTGTAATTAACGATGCCATATCACAGATGTTGACAACTGAAAAAAAATGAAAATTGATTTTCATAAAACCCGATAAGCAAAAAAAACTGCCCCAAAATTAAAAATTGCAATAACGAAATATCGCGATCAATATCATACCAATATTTTTAGCTCAATGCAGTTTGACAATTAACTAAAAAAGCTGTATTTGATGGGTTCGTAACCTCATTTGCGTAGTAATAAGACGTGAATCTATACTGCGATTCTATATTTTAATCTTCAATTTTGGGAAATAAGAAACATCTACAAAAACAAAGGATATTTTTTTCTTGAACTCACATGGCATTGGCGAGCAGCTCTTTACTTTTTCTCTCTCAATTTCTTTCTGCTCCATCAGCGATTTGATTCTTTTGGTCAAGCTATCGTACTGATCAATTTTCGTTGAAGTTACATTTTCAATTTCACTAGAGGGGCTTACGTTGTTATCAGAATTTCCCGAGCCAGGTTCGATCTCTCGACCCATTGTCATAATGCTAATATTACTTCGATGTTCTTGAGCGCAATATCCAACTACGCATAAGAACGTAAGAATGAAGGATGCTAACAAACTCATATTGTAGTGAGAACCAGCACAAGAGTATCGATTTACGATAATGGAGGTATAACTAAGGTACCAACGCTTTTTATATGGTTTTCCATTTTTTTTTTGGCAACCATTGCCTTTTTTGTCAATTGCTGGGCGGCGCAATAACCTCGCGGTTAAAGTCTTAAGATGCAAATGGCATCGCAGATTACACAAATCCCATGCGCCCTGCCTCTTTCAGGGGGTAATAAATTGAGTAGGCAGTGGCGAGCCCAAAAGGTTCAGGTCATTCCAAATAAATAGTAGCTACTCAAATATCATTAGATGTCAGTGGTTGCTTATGCATGGCCTTGTTTGAGTGAAAGGCGCGAGTAAGCGTTGTATTTAATGAAAATCACATTTCTCGTTTTTATTTTATTTAATAGAGAATGACCCAGAATCATGAGAGTGTTTAAGTTCGTATATTTTTGCAACGTTAGTTAATTGTGAAATCATACATTTGTAACTATATTCTCTTTTCAGTAGCCAATATTTGAGCCTGTTATTGCATTCATAAAATTTTACTCGATGCCGCATACCTATTCCAGTTTCACATTTTCCCCTATAATAATTCGATACTTATTTTATATTCCTGTTTGATACAGAAAATATTTGGACAAATAAAAAATATTTTCATACCACGTCGTTATACATTCGATTTTATTTCCTCTAATTAGAGTGATTTCCTCTGATTGTTTTATGAGGTTCAAGAGTCTGTGACATGCTTAAAAAAACTTTGAGCGTCGCATTAGAAAAATTTCAGCTTCCTCCTTTTTTATAATTTTCCCCAGATAGATTGAAAATCGGTGGACGTACTTTTTTTAACGTTATTACACCTACACACAAGATATGTGATAGGCAAGAGCCCATTACTCAAATAATATATTTTTTTAATATTTTTCTTTATATTTAAGGGGGTCTATATAAAAACAATCAATGCGTAATCAAGAAGTAACCCTAACAGTTGTTGAGAAATTTTAGTAATGTTCGAATGGAATTCCACTTGGAATAAGTATAAACTTACTTAACATTTCTGTTTGATACGAGAAATAAACGAGGTAAAGGACAAAAATTTAAGTTTGAACCCGCCAAACTTACGTTTGAATTGAGTCAAATAATTCAACCGGGGTTATAAATTGGGGACATCCTAAATGTTGCATTTGTCACATATTCTAATATAAAGTTGACCAGGTGACACAAAGTATCAAGCTCCAATATTTTAATGAAAAGAATCGACACGAAGATCATTTTACTAAACCACATGGTCAACCACAGGTCAATCGATTGTATTTAATGTTGAAATCTGTGTCAAGATTATTTTGTACTGTTAACATTAATTTCAAAAGCTTTGGCATATTCAATTTTTTTACAATCAGTACATTATTAACCCTCCCACCTCCAGATCCACTTTAATATTCACTGTTTCATTACATTCATGTTCCGACAAAACTATAGTATGATGAGATAAACGATTGTCTAAAACGACTATGCAAAACCTTTTACAATTAATGTTAATAGTACAAAATACTTTTGGCACTCGTCTCACCATCGAATACAATCGACTGACCTATGGTTGACTATGTGGTTTAAAACACTGATATTCATGTCAATTCTTTTTTTCATTATGATATTGAGATTTGATACTTTGCGTTACCTCCTCGACCTTATATGCGAATATGTGACAAATGCAACGTTGAGGATGTCACCGATACCTAACCCCGATTGAATTATTTGATTCAATTCAAACGTAAGGATAGCGGGGTCAATAACTATTTGTCATTTACTTCAAATATTTTCTCGTATCAAACATGGATGTCAATTGAGTATCTGCTTATTCTAAGCAGAATTCCACAAAAAGTTGACCCAAAAGTTTTTAAAAATTCTCTCAATCATGGTTACTTTTTGACTACGCATTGAATGTTTAAATATACATTTGAATTACACGCTTGAAAATATAAATGAAAACAATTAAAAATATATTGTTTACGTAATGGGCTATGGGCTCATACGATTACATATGGGTGATTGCGTCATGGGGTAATACGGTTGAAATAAATAAAAAAAGTACTCTAACGATTCCCGATCATTTTGCGGAAATAGGAACCAAGAAAGCTGGATTTATTTTAATGCGACGCTTAATGTTGTTTGAAACAGGACACCGACTCTTGACCCGAATCACCCTATCAAATTAGAGAAAATCAAATCAAATGTATAGGTGGCGCGGTATAAGAACTATTATTTTACAGTCAAAATATTTTTTGTATCGAACACGGATACAAAATGAGTATGGGCTTATTATAAGGGGGGAAACTTGAATGGGTATGTGGCAGCGAGTAAAATTTTATAAATGCAAAGACAGGATCAAATAATGGCTGTTGAAAATAAAGAAAAACAATATGTATGATTTCACAATTAACTAACGTTGCAAAAATATTACAAAATTAAACACTCTCACCAATCTGGGCCATTCTCTGTTAAAATAAAGAAACAAGAAATGTGATTTTCTTTAACCTGTTCTGTGCGAATCGGTGCATTAGCGCAATTTTAGACGCTGTGTGTAAACCATGAGGTCTGGAATGTTTGTTATGGTCTTGTTTGGAAGAATAGCTCATTTCCTACCCAGCAATATAAGAATGAACGTTATATGACATTTGGAAGTAATAAAATATATCGCTTACATTTCACGAGTGTACTTCCCGCTGCGATAGAAAAACGTCGCACAGCAAGAAAATAATTCAATAAACCTTGGCGTTGCGCGCTAACCAATAACAAAAGCTAGTATGATAAGGTCTTATTTTGAAGGTCCTTTTATATGCTACCAATGACATTAAACAACATGATGCGCAACTCCGGCATTTTTGTCCGAAGATCGTATCCGATAGCACGCTCCAATGCACATACTTGTCGAGACGAAAACGAGCGGATGTGTGCTGCTTTCAAGTCGTAGCACGAATGGTGTTCGTGCCTGCTTTGACAGTTGTTGTCGATTTTAATGATATTTTTGAAAGTTGGGGTAAAAAGAAATCGGTAAAAGGTAAGGTGAATACTATTGTTGTATATCACACCAGGGCATCGCACTGTTAAGTACATGTGTGAAAGCCAGCCTTTGTCAAATACTACGAAGTTATTAATTCAGTACGGTACGTAGTTGCCCATTTGCCGAAATTACATATTTACTTACCCCTTATGGTTTCAAATAGTTCATGCACCTCCAGTTAGATTTTTTTAACCAGTGAGGATATATACTCATTGTTGATTGCTGCTCATTGTAACATACTATTACGCATTCACTTCTATTTGCGTATTGAATCAAAGTGTTAATAAGTTCACCTAACATTTCACTCATACCGGTCTATATTGTATAGTCTGATTTCTCAGGTATTTGGAGCCACGAATGCTTGTAATTTTCTGACTAAAGCCTTTTATTAGTTGGTTTATATACCAAATTCAGTAAATATTTTTTAAATAAACATGAGATATTGGATTATTAGCTTTTCCATTCTGAATCATATAGACTGCTTTATTTATTCTTAGCGAAAATTAATAAATCTCCTCTCTTTCTTCAGATGTGAAAGTTGTGGACAAACCTGTCTAAGCATTGTGAGACTCTTGCAGCACAAGAGGCAATAGCAGAAATAGTAAGTATATCAATCAAGAAATTAAGCCGACATAAAGCAAAACTTTCACTATTCGTCTAATCTCAACTTCCTTATTATTTATTCACAGGACAACTATAGCAGACGGGGAGATATCAGAAGTCTGGCGACATATCAGTGACAGTGTGATTCCAAGAAATATAATGCATTTGAAAATAGAAAATTGCAATAGAAAAACAACCTATGGAGGCATGCAAAGACATTTGACCCTCCGGTAGAGTTGTGTATGGCCCCCACATCCTGCAGGGCTTGAGGAAAATAACTAAAAATTCCAAAGCGTAAGATTGCATAAGCGGTCTTATTTGTAAAAAGGCACAAAACACGCCAGACATACTTAAAACAGCTTTGGAAATGAGGATTACGGGTACCTCACTGCACTGTGTTATATTTTGGTTCATCAACTTTTGGTAGTACTATAGAAGAAATTCGCGGAAGGGTTTATAATCATCATTCATGATAAAATACTATCATATATTTTTTGAACAACTTCAATCTAGACCAGGGATCTCAAACTCGCGGCCCCAGAGAACTTCCAGTGCGGCCCTCGAACGTTTAACAATAATTGTAATAGTATTTTGGAAGTTTTTTTTTTTTATCTAAATGTAATAGATTTTTCAAACCTTCTAAAGTGAAATTGATTATTCACACAGAAAACAACTTACTGAAAGTAGTTTTGGAATATTGATTTTTTTTGTCCACATTTTGACCCAATTAAGAATACACATCAAGCTAGCAAAAGAATACTTGAATAAAACACTTGAGTAATTAAATTAAACGCAAAGTACATGGAGAAGGTGGCATTTTCGAAGAAAATGGGAGTTGTAACATTTCTGCTCTTCACAAAATTCTGAAGCACATTGTTTAATTTGTCATATTTCCATCAATACAATCAAAAAACACAATAAGCTCAGCAGTCAATATGACAAATTCGAAGACCAACTTCGAACAGAAAATTTCCATGTGTTTGTATATTAATATAATTAACAACGACTTAGTTACTAAAATCAATATCAATAATAATTCAAGCAATCCTATGCCACGCATGTAGTGCGAAATGTCTTGTCGAAAAAATCTGTCATTTGTTTTTTTACTGATCTATACATGAAATGATAAAAGTAACTTTTTTGCATTACTGGAATTAATTAAACATTCGTAAAGATCCAGATAAACCCATGATCATGTGGTTTCGTTAGTTAGAGTTGGTACTATAAAATCATTTCAGACTGGCCTTAGTATGCTGGTGACACAAAAAAGATGCCAAACGCCAGGACAAATGTAATTATTAAAACATTGAGTTTATACTGTAGTATTTTTGTTAATTTCAGGTTCATATATTTAGATTAAGTCATTTTTAGTGTATGTATTA